TGTGAACCAAGACAAAATGCTGAGTGAATTCACACATGAATCAGCTCTTTTTGTTTTGTGAAGATTGAACACATCCAAAAAGTTCTGAGTATTCAGCAATGACGCCAGCCCTCTATGACTCACAGATGGTCCCTACTGAATTTATGATGGGATTTATCCTGTGTCACACCCAGAAAATTAACTATTTGGGTTCTGTGAACTAACCCAAAGGGTGGTGTGTCTTTTTGTTTGTGGGAAGGTAAATTTTCTGCCTTATCAGAACCCATGTCCTTACACAGAGGGTAGGGTGTCCTACATCCCTGTGACCTTGTGCTCATGATTGATGAGGCAGAAGGTTTCTGCTGCATTTTCTTCCCTGTCCTTTCCTGAGAGGCCCTTTGTGTGTTGTCCACCTTCATGCTGCCTTTGTAGACCAGGCCACCTCTATCCAAAAACAGACACCCACTGTACAGAATGCTCTCTGAGCCAAATTTGCTGTTCGACTCACAAGAAGAGAAAGAGATGGCAGATTTTGAGAAAGCTATCACACTAATAAAATACTGTTTACCCGAAGCCCAACCTAAATGGGCAGTTAAGTAGTAAAATTTATGAAGCATTTCCTAGCCCAGACAGTGAAAGGAGCCAGGCCTCATGGAGCTCAAAGCCTTGGTCACCAGGAGCCTGTCCTCTGCAGCCTGAATTGGTCAGGGCCTTGGTTTGCGGCCAGCTACAGCTGGGATGCAGGAGGGTTGTGGATGGCAGATGCAGTTTCTAACCTAGGAGAGCATGGCTTTCCTTGGGTCACTCTGGTCACAGGTACTTAATTTTCTTTTTTTTCTTCTTTTTTACATCTAAGAGAAGCAGGTCACAACTTTTCACCTCTGCAGTATACTTTTGCTTTCTGAGTTTACTTTCCACCCCTGGAATCTCTACACTAGGTTGTTGTCGCACACAGTGCAGTAGAGACAGTGGGAGGAACTCTGTGTAATTCCTGCCTCTGTACCTTTGGTGTCATCTCTAAGAGTCCAGAAAGCATTAGACACACAACACACTGCCTCAGAAAGGAAGTCTGGGGGGTTGGATCTCTGTGAATCTGGGTTTTATGTGTTACTGCATTTAGAAGGGACTGAGGGAATGATTCCCCGGCCCACTCTTGTCTCCTCTTTCACAAACATCTTTTATATTTTTGTCTCAAGTTAAAATCCTGGTGCTCTATCTCACAGTCCCAAGAGACTGTGTTTTGGGTTGCGTTTTGCCTTACAAAAAAATGAATCTCACCCATTCTTCAGAGACTCTCAGGTGTCTTCAGACAGAACAAAAGAGAAACTACTGAGTAAATATTCCCACATGGGCAGGACTATGTCACAACCTATTATAGGTCTGGAGCTTTGTTTTTATTCACTTTTTATTCTTTTATGTTATTTTTTCCCCATGTGAATTGGACTCCCTCTCTGCTCTGACCATTAAGGTTGTGATCTAGTCAACCTTGGACCAATCACCATTTAATGAGGTGGAAAAAGTTAGAACTGACTTTAACCTCTGTGTGAAAACCTCTTTTTGTATCACTCAGCTGATAGAGCAACTAGATTCTGCACTCCCTCTTCCATGAATTGTGTTAATTTGCTGCATAGGCAGCCTAAGTTTGCAAGTAGTGACTTAAAAATGATATCCCAAACACAGGTGGTCTCAACAACCTCTAGGAGGGACGGGCGATAGAAAGAAGAACTGCAGACAAAATCAGCTCTCATTCTGAGGGTGATGAAAATGGTGCAGGAGGTACGTCTTGCCCAGGCTTCACCTGAGTGGGATCATTTCACAGACCCATACACATAAACATACAAACCACTGGCGTAGTCTAACTCAACATGCAGTCTGGCTAAGCTCAAAATGGAAGTGCTGTCCTTTTGTTGTCATGTCATGTGAAATACTAATTCATAGTACTTTCTCAGTGAAGGGTCTGCCGCAAAACTCAACACTAAAGATAAGGATAAGGTAAAGAATGGATGGAGGAGTGCGGTGGTTCTATGGTAGTCTGTGAAAGCTCTAGCAGCTATGAGGGCATCTTTGGTCTTCCTGGAGAGGAGGAAGCAGAGCACATAGATATTCCTTAGGTACACTTGCAAAAGGCATAAGTGGCCCTTTCTACAGTCATCCTACTGCCTCTCATTTTTAGTCCTAGACCTTAGTTGAACTTGGAGCTGCTGTGGAAGATGCTCTTTATATAAGAACTTAAGCGTTTGAGTATGCCACCCAAAATTTAGGCAGGCTTTTGGATATGTGGAAGAATTAGAGTACATCTCACATATTACCAAATGAAATGTACACATTTAGAGTTTCATGTTTGATAGATTTGATATTGGCCACTTAGGTCAAGAAAAGTCAATGATGTATTACAATTCCAATAGAGAGAAAATAATTATTTAATATGTGAACAAAGTAGATAAAAATATAGTACATGTATTAAATATTTTTATATGTTCATTCCTAAAGAGATATCTATTGGACCAGCAATTTGTTCATTTATTCATTAGAGTTTTAATGGACCAGGAAGTGTCTCAACACTGTAGGGCTGAAGATGATTAAAAAAATACTAACCCATTTATTCACTCACCATCTATGTATTGAGAGTCTATGTTGTGCTCTGTTTTAGAAGGTGGTGATAGAACTGTGAATAAGACATAGTTCTTGCTCTCATGGAGTTTACATTTTAGTGTGGGTAAAAATGGTAAGAAAATAAATAGAAACATAATGCCAGGTAGTGTGAAACATTACACCTCTCTTTAACTTGAACTGCAATTTTCTAAAGACTTGGTAACCCAGTTGCATACAGCTTGTCATTTCAGAATAGTCTGGTAGGACCCAGGTACGGGACACTTTTTGCTTCTCTACATGGAGAAGACAGCATTTGATTTTTTATAGTTGGTTGTAGATTCTCACATGACTATGTAGAAACTTGGCTCATATATTTAGAGGATGGTGGTAAAAGGAGCTAGAGTCTTTCTGATGGAGGAGATCCCTTCGTTGATGGAAATGTTCACTTCATTACTATTCTAGACGCATGTGGCTCACATCTTCATTTCCCCTAGAGTCTTAACTGAAAGCACATGAAATGATCACATACTTAAAAGGGTACAAGGTTGAAGCCGTGATGCCTGACAATGCCTACTGTGTGCAAATTATTGCTTTGGGTGTAGTGGCTGTGATTTTCTGAGAGCTAAAATCGAGTAGCTGAAATCTATAAGAAGCTCTGATGCTCGTAACAATAAGTATGCACATGACTGAAATATGACATAATTTGACCCCAGTGGTGGTGGATTTCTAATTTTTTAATAGCCTGACTTCTCCTATAAAGTTGGTTTTATTCTCTTTGTGACACTACAGTGTAATTGGTTCACCCAGTCGATGGAAATGGGATGTGTAATTTTCAAGAGCACGTGAAACCTCTCCCTTCAGTAGATTTGGGGTTCTAGCTTTCATCTGAAAGTTTTTGGAATTAGGTACCAGCCAGTTTTCCTTTTTTGACAGAAAGAGGGTGTAGAATAAATAGCCTTTGCTAAAATGTTTACAGGTCAACTACCCTAATAACCTTCTTAAATTGCAGACTCTGTAATTTCATATTTAATTTTTTCCCTTAAAGTGAAAGCCTACCTGTTGTTTTCTTTATTTTGTTCTCATTAAAATATTCTTCTCTGGGCATAGTCATTATATTTTTAGAAAAGCATAAAGGAGCCAGTATTCAAATCTGCTCTTAATTTCTACAAATATAGCAAAGCCTGCTGGGAAATGGATAGTATGGTTCTTTCCTTGTCTGCTACATAATATTGCCACAAATCATGTAAATGGGGGAGGAGGAGGGAGCTTAGGTGATTGTTTAGCTCTGGGAAAGAAGCTACTTCCTGCAGAAAGAGAATTTCAAATGGCCACATACCAAAGCTAACACATGCACAGGTTTCCTGTGGGCCATTTCCCCTTTGCTGAGTCTGACCTAAGGCCAAAGTGAAGAAAATTTTCCTCTTACAAAACTTCCAATTTCTATGGATCCAAGCTGATCACCAAGCTGATCACTATGTTAAAGAAAGTTATAAAATCTAGGCTATTGCAGATTTCTGAAGAACTTCATGAACTTGCTTTTAAGAAATTTAATAAGGTTTGTTTTGGAAATTAGGAGAAAAAGGAAGAGTAAAATGGAAACATTTAGATAAGGTATCACACTGATAAGCTGTCATACTACAAACTTTTGAACACTTGAAAATATATATGCCTGAAAGAATTAAGTTATGACTATGGTATATCAACTGTCATACTTTAAAATATTTTATCCCAAATTTTGTCTTTTGAGGATGTACTTTAAAATGTTTCCAACTTAATTTTTATTTTTACTTTTTAAAACCTATCAATTAAAAATGTTTTTTTTCCTTCAAGATACAGATTGCCTAATAGATATTTAAACTCTTTTAATACTTTCCTCCTGCCCACAACCCCAGGGAAATTAAAGGACAGTGGTACAGAACTGATTGTTACAGAAAAACGAAAGTTTGAATGTTAATTAATCACAGCATTTTCATTTATGAATGGCATGAGATGAGTATAGGAAAGTGGTGGCATGAACACATCTTTCACCAGCTGTGTGATTAGTGGAGTTTTTTTTTTTGTTAAAAAACAACTATGATGCAATTATGCTACATTTTAAAATGTTCACAACAAAAAGTTGATAGATCTCAGGCACATGTTGAGTAAAATCTCTGGCCCTAAAGCCTAGAGGACATCTCAGGGTATTTCCCCAGTATTATTCATTTGTTTCAAGGGGGTGGAAAAAGTGTTACATTACAGATTGATGTACAAAGTTTTCTCGTAATAACTGCAGCGAAGTCCTTGACTGCATGTTAAGCTAAGCTACATGGGTCTTACCAGGCCTGTACCCGATACTGACATTAGAGATCAGCCAGGCCCCTGTGCAGTTGGGGTGTTGCCTCCTGCATCACTCCCCCCGCGTGTCCGGACAGGCCTTCACCTTTTCTTACCTGCATAGTGGTCAAACACAGTGGGCACGTACTCCTCTGGGAAGGCATCATTGGCGTAGCTCATCAGCAGGCAGGTTTTCCCCACAGCGCCGTCCCCGACCACCACGCACTTCAGCATCTTCTTCTCCTCACTGCTACCGCAGCTGCAGCTGCTGTCATTTACCTCTTTGCAGTTCATTCTTGCGGCTCCAGCTGCTGTGACTGTGCTGCTACTGTTGCTGAGTCTCCTGCTTCTCCCAAAGCCCATGAAACGGTGGGAAGCCACAGCCAATCTGAGATCACTTTGCCTTACTTTGGGTACCTGGGACCATGCAGACTTGTCCGAGGCAACTGGCACATGCCCTCTCGCTTCCCATGCTGGTGAAGAAAGGTAACATACACTTGGGAGAATTATTAAAAGGGTCTGTCCCTTTTCCCTATCAGATTGAGTTCAGAAACCCTCATTTTCACGGAGTTCTAGAGGCTTCCTGGAAGTCTGGAAATTTCAGCAACCTGAGGATTTCACTCTGCTCTCCGCCTCTCCATCCTGGCTGAAGACACGGTGGAATTTTGCTGAATCTTCCCCATTTTCCACTTCACATCTAACATGGAGGAAAGCTGGGCTTTTAAATGGAGTTTTCCCCTTGCTTCCTCCAGCTTGCGGAGTGTCAGGAAATCATGGGTTTCCTGCTGCATTCCATATTAGGATCAGTGGGCTGCAACAATGGGAGCTCTGTGTGTGTGTGTTTGCACTTCTGGGGAATGCTGCCAGGACATGGAGTGGGAAAACACTAGGGGTCCCGCTGCAGACTCAAGCTGTCAGACTTCCTGTTTCATCCACTACTGGGAGGCTGTTTGCCTGTGGCTGGCTGGGAAGAGGCTGACGAAAGGATGGAAAGTGGGGAGTGCTGTCTGCCACAGAAACAGGGGAATGGTTTAAGTGAGCAGGGAGAACCACACCAGCCATGCAGGATAACACATGACATCATCCCTCACTCAGCCACCAGTTAAAAGCTCTGTAAATTAAAAATGGACAGTTCTTCACATACTTAAATGAGAAAACGTAAGCATTTCCTCCCTGCAAGAAAGAAAAAACAACCTCCCACAGTTTCATTGTTTCCAAGGGAAACATACATCATAGGTGTAGTATGTGTGATCACGTTTATAAGTTGCCACAGTTGAGCGCAATGCTCAAACAAATGTGTATTCCAGACGCAAACATTTTAATGGTCACAGCACATAAGAAATCAATCAGATGTGGGACATTTGCAACTTTTTTTTAGTGAGTAAACACACGTGTGCTTGGCTCGCCCTTACTCTTGGAAATGAGAGCGTGGGACGGCTTTCTTGGTTTGTTTTAGGCTCCCAAATGCTGCTTTTACTTGGCCAGTTCTCTTTTTGTTTAGTCCCATCCCCTTGGGTCAGCCTGGCCCTCTTCGATTACAAAGGAGCCGTTGGCAGCTAATTGATTTGTCTGTTGGGTCACTCAAAATGAAGCCCCTTTTAAGCTCTGTGCTCATTTAATGTACTTGGTCGTAAAAAAGTGGAACTCTGGCCCTGGCTGGTGTAGTTCAGTGGATTGAGCATGGGCCTGTGAACCAGAGGATCCTGGTTCGATTCCCAGTCAGGGCACATGCCCGGGTTGCAAGCCAGTTCCCAGCAGGGGACGCATGAGAAGCAACCATACATTGATATTTCTCTTCCTCTCTCCTTCCCTTACCCTCTAAAGATAAATAAATAAAATCTTTAAAAAAAAAATAAGTGGAACTCTGCAAATGACTTTGACAAATGGGCCAAGCTCCTTTTTTGATGGGGGAACTCTGTGTCTTTGAGTTTTTGAGTACTGATTTTTTTTAAGTATTCAGATTATTATCCAATTGATTTGAAGATTTATTTACATATTTATTTTTATTGTGGAGAGGGTGGGAGAGAAGTCTTTCTCTCTATCCACATATATATGCTACTGGATAATACAACTGGATAATAATCCGTCCCCAGATTCTTCTGTTTTGGATTATAGTAACATTTGCCACAGTCCTTAATGTCCCGATAGCTTTCCTGTAAAAGGTTGGTGTCTCAGTCAGGTTATTGTGTATCTACGAGCGTATGTTGCCATAACAAGTGGCTCCCAGTGGTCAGTGATACAGAATAATGTGCATTTCTTGCTTACATGTCTGATTGTGTACTTTTGTCACCTTCATTCAGGCCGATGGAGCAGCCACATTGGGAACATTGATGATCCCTGTGGCAGAGGAAGACACTGATGTGGTGAGTTGGCACTGCCTTTCAGTGCTTCCTTCTGGAGATGGCACAGCTGTCATTTGTTGTAAAGCAAGTCACATACCCTTGCTAGGTACGGCAGGTAGGGTCAGAAGTATAATCCTACCATGTGCCAGGAAGGAGAGAACTAAGTATTGGCGAACAGCTGAAATCAATTGGACGTGGTTTAGAAAACCAGGGCTCATTTAGTTGAGGCTGAGTTAGCCGTGTGAAAGTTGGATGGTTTATGCTTACTGCCATTCAGAAGCACCTGAAGGCACCCGTAACTGCATAAGATTTATATAATTGTATTTTCAACTAGCCTACCTGAAACACTGGGATAAGTGGTAATGAAATTGCAATTTGACGACTTAGATTTTTCTTCTAGAAAATAGGTTCATGTGTGAAAGTGGCAGCCAAGGCCATCTCTGCAGGTGAAGGAGTGACTGACAGTGTCCTAACCCCATTCTGGACATGAACAGGACCACTCTGAGCACAATGTGATGACGTGTGTTTGGCAGACCTTTGACGGTGTTCTGCCTTTGACCTTGTCCCTGAGATCAGGCAATAAATGTGGCATGGGCCAATACGCCGTTCATATACGGAGTTCTCAGATATGGCTGCCCAGCCTGCACTCCTGCATTCACCCCAGCCCACTGACCACTTGGTCTAAGAAAAAATTGGGAAATTGGATTGGATGAAATTTTGCCACATCTGTGTGTAATCTAAACCTTGCACCATCAAACACAGACGTTTACGTCCGTGCCGATGGCTCTGTGGACTACAGTGAAGGGACGTTTATAGGGAAGAAGACTTGCTGCAGCCACTTATGGGTCTTTTCAAAGGATCGGTGCCTCTGCCAGACTGGATTGTTTACGAAGGGTCAGGGTTGTTGACAATGTTGGCTGTATTTCTCAAACTTGTGTTGTCATCCTTACTGTTGCCCCCAACTGAATATTTATAGGGAAAAACATTTGAGACATTCTGAGACAAATGGCAAAAAAGTTAAAATTTTAAAAGCCTGCTCGTTATACGGATCGCTTTGTCCATGTGAGAATAAATCTTTTTTTTAAAGGTTTTTCTTTTTTTTAAAAAAATATTTTATTTATTTATTTTTCAAGAGAGGGGAAGGGAAGGAGAAAGAGTGGGAGAGAAACATCAATGTATGGTTGGTTGCCTCTCATGCATCCCCTGCTGGGAACTGGCCTGCAACCCAGGCATGTGCCCTGACTGGGAATCGAACCTCGATACTCTGGTTCACAGGCCCGTGCTCAATCCACTGAGCTATGCCAGCCAGGGCAGAATAAATCTTTTTAAATATTAAAAGATAGACCTGAAGCAGAGTAACAGAATTAAAAAAAAAAAAGAGAGACATTTCGGCATTGTTCTTATAGGCCCCTGAATTCATAGAATTGTGGTTACTTGTCCTGGCAGAATGGTCAAGAAGATACCTAAACTGCAGATGTTTATAGCTGTGCATTTGGAAGGGGTATGCAGACCACTTGCTGAACTAACTGTTCTTTACCAGATGCCTGTACTTTGGGGTCCTGGGCCAACCGAGTGACTGAGCAGTGGTTTCATAGCCATTAATTATTTGGTTTACCTCAAGCACCAAGTTTACCCAAACTCACCAGGACATGGTAGAGACCTGCTGAGTGGCATTTCCTGCTTTTTCTGAGAGATTTTAAGTCCTTGGCTCTGTTCTGTCCTCTGAGCTTTGGCTTCACATGAATTTTGCCAAAAGCCAAGAGAACATCTTTGCGTACAATTCTGATTCCTCTAATTGTTTCCAGTTTTAGTATGACAACCCCCCCAAAAAAACAAAAACAAAAACGAAAAACGCCCCCACAAACAAAAAAACAAAACAAGAGCCCAGACTTTCCTCTTCTGTTTTTTTTTTTCTTTTTTGCCTTTTGTATTTGAAACTCGAAGCTACTCAGGGAAATAATACACTGGATCAGACGCTCTGACTCTGGATCAGCCTCTGCAGAGGAGACTGCTTTCACTCCCGTCTGAGGACTGTGGGCTGTGCTGCAGTTACTGTGGTCCTGGCTGCCCAGCCCAGTCACCCCCACTCCACAGGAAGTGCTGTGCGAGGCTAGTGTGGCAGTGAGGCCTCTACCAGCGGTAGATTCGGTGCGAGGCAGGAGGGGCTGCTAGCTGCAGTTCTGACCTCAATCTCCCACTGGGCCTGCACCTCGGGATCAGTCGGGACCCTCGTAAAACTGAACAGGCTGTCCTGGGACTAGCCTAGACAGGAACCGCCCTTCCCCAACGGGGTGGGTCATTGCCATCAGGGACACTCATTTCTTAAGGCTTTCCTTAACCATGGAAATAGTTCTATGATTGACGCTGGTATAACCTAGCTCCTCTCATAGTTATGTTAGCAGATCGAACGAGTGTTCTGAGAAGCAGAGGTTCTTCTGTGAGGCAGTAGTGTAAGTCATTAAACCCAGGGGGGCAGATTCTCTTCAGATGCCAACCTCCTCCCCTCAATGCCAGGGTCAGTATGGTGCCCGCTCTAGCTGATTCTGGATGTGGCCACTGAATCCTTCCCAAACCTGTGCTCCAGGCGTCTGTCAAAGACTGATTGGCATGTAAAGCAAAATCCTTTCCTAACCCTGTTCAGCCTTCCCCAGATACAGAAAGCAACTCTTCCTGCATAATCAAGGAGGAAGGAGAAAAGGGAGGTGCATCTTCTGACATTTAACAAACAACTGCTGTGTGAAAAATTTTGCACAATTACTACATTCAGTCCTTTTTCCATCAGAGGGGTAAGGTGTCATGACTTCCATTCTTCTGAATGGAAATGGTCTCAGGCCCAAAGTCACAGAGGTGTTAGGTTAAGGGATGCAGCAGGGATTCACGTCCAAGTCTGAATCTGAAGGCCATATCACACTTGCTCTTCAAGCCTTTGTAGAATCATTGTTAATAATCAATTAGTTATATGATGTTAAATGTATAATGTAGGGATGGGTGATGGCTGGGAGTACATTTTACTGTGAATTTATTAATTCCTGCAACAGATGTTTATTGAGTACTTCCCAGGCACTAAAGGTATTGGGGTGAACAAATCAGATAATTGTCCTCTGGAAACTTACATACTAGTGGGAGGAGGTAAATAATCAACGCTGAGCATAGTAAGTATGTAAATTATCTTCATAGGTGATAGGTACTATGGGAAAATAAGAAGACTGTAGCAAGTTGAGGATAATTGGCCTGGAAAGAGGAGTGGGGTCTCAAAGACTGAATGTTTAATAAGGAGTATTTGATATGTGGGGGAAGAATATTTTAGACAGTGGGACTAGCCAGTTCAAAGGCCCTAATGTGAGGGTATCCCTAGAGTGTTTGACCTCCATGTGCCTGGAACACAGTGAGCGAGGGGTAGAGCGACAGAGGGCGCGGAGTGCCAGGCTGAGGAGCCCCTCAGGTCACGGTATGGACTTCG